CAGAATTCCCCAGCCAGCCTTGCTGGCTGAGGAATTCTGGGAGTTAAAGTCCACTCGTCTTAAAGTTGCCAAGGTTGAGGAACTCTCTACTAAACCAAATGGTTTATATTTACTGACCATACCTCAGAGAGATTATGGCTAGTATGCTGACCTAACAGGAAGGGATCAATAATCAGGCACATGGATGGGTTTATCCAAAGCAGGGCTTCTCAAACTTGGCAACTTTAAAACATACTGGCTGGAGAATTCTGGGAGCTGAAGTCCCCAAGTCTTAAAGTTGCCAAGTTTGAGAAACACCGATCTAAAGCATTCCAACGTCATGCTTTAATTTCTATGATGTCTGCCTTTTTTCTTTATCTTGTCTGTGCAATGTCGTTGGCCAGAGGTCTATAAACTCTGGTCTTGCCTTTGCTCATGGCTGCTGAGCAAAGGGCCAAGGCTTTGCTGGGAGCTCAGGGTATACTTGTAGGCATGCTAATAAAATTATGTTGTATCTTCAAAGTGACTTGGGTGCTTTAGGTGAGACAGGTGTTGGTCACCCCAGAAGAATGGTGCTTTGCCCCTGACCCTTCCGTGCTGCGAGGCTGGAATCTCCGCTTGGGCAGAACCCACGCCACGCCAAGGCAACTGTTCTTTTCAGACTCAGATCTATGAAGGTCAGCGATCCTGTCCCAAATGCCTCTGCCAGGAGCAAGGACCAAAGCCTGGATCCTGTAAGGAAGCAAGCAGGTGCAGGCAATATTCAGCATTCTCCTGCTGTCTCACTCTTGCCACCGACCTGGGCAAAATACTAATTCTGCATCATCTTCTTCTCCAGAGCTCACGAAGGATCAGAATACAGAGCAGCAGGATGTGAAACAGGAATACTTTAATGAAAGTGAGCTGGCCTTAGGATCTTCTCCATGTTTTACGGGAGGCTGCGCAGGATTTCTGAACTGGAAAGAGGGACTTTCTTTCCAACATCTCGTGCCCAAAGCCCAACCCTTTAAAGTGATTAATTGGAACTTTCCGCAGGGAGTGCAGTTGAACGCGCTTTGCCAAAGGGCACAGGAAAGGTCGAAGTGTTTGTGATGGTAGCCTGAACCTCTATTGAGCTGTGATTGCTGATTGCAAGGTTGCCAGTCCAATCAGCTGGGAGGGCGAGGGTGGTGCTCCTCTGCCAAGGGACGGATAAAATTAGAAAGGATAATCAGAAAGATCTGGTAACGTAGAGAATAAGGAAGATGACCTTGATGGAAATATGCAGCGACCGTTATTTAGGCAAAGGGGGCTGAAATGATTTTAAGTCCTGAGAAACAAGATAACATTTGAAAGTGGATCAGGCAGACAC